ACTGAAACAGAAAGTGGAAAAAAAAAAAATATTGGGCTCTCCACTCAGTTTTTTCTCACCTGCTTAACTAAACTGCATTAAAATCTACCTTAGATTTCAAAACTGTATTTTCTTTTGGAGGGGAGAGAGCCCCAACTGAACATCATCAGAATAGAAAGAAAATGCTACAATCACCTTTTTCTACACTGTTTTGTAATTAGCTCGCCCTCCAGAAGAAGGCAATGGCCTTGTCTATGGGAACGGAGCAGTCCTAGCACGGTAGCCTATCATATATTTTCCAGATCCTGGCCTTGGCCACTTTAACTAAGACAAGGCAGCAGCCACACTTAGAATTACAAACACAGTTTGCAAGTAATTCTTACCACTTCAGAAAAAAGTAGTTCCAGAAAACGTTGAAAATAATAGTAAATACATGTACAAATGTAATAATTGGGAAGATGGAAATTTCCTTCGGAATGAAAGATACTTTAATGCTTTCCAAGCCAGTCCACAATGAGGACAATGCTATTTTTTAAAATCCTATTCCCTGTTTTCATTGCACATGACATATTACATTGTACTGTACAGTATGTGGTGATGAGAAATTCCCTGCTTATTTAATTGTGATCCTTCAACGAATTTGAAAGGGACCACTTTATTTCCATTTCTTTAATTTACTAGTTCTTTAGCTGATGATTTTATTAACCCTTGTATTTGAGAATTGATGCTTAACAAAAAGAGAAGAAGAAAAAAAAGGCCCTTGGCAGTACTGTGAGGGCCTGGAACTGAATAATGCACTTTAATAATGAGGGATAGAGCTATGGCTTTTGCTGATGGCTGTGACCGGCTCTGTGACCTGATTATGTCGCAGAGTGTCAGCAGCTGAGACACTACAAAAGGGAGCGCATCCCATCAAATCTATCTCCATTGTAATCACTCGCACTGCTGAGAGGCTTGTTAGGAGCAGGGAATCCATCAGGCCTCATTAGCACCATTTACCATCAAGAAGCTCAAAGAGCAAACGTGTACCCTCTCATCAGAATAATGAGAACCAAAGTACTCCTATTATCTAATTGGATCAACAATGCCTCTCTCTCTATTTAGTTTCCTGAGCTACTTGTGGACTTCAACTGTCAAAAATTAGTTATTTTTTATTAATTGCCAGGGTGGAGCTGTGCTCAAGGTTTTTCAAGCACAGAAGGTTTTCACATCTAAAGAGGAAGGCACGGGCACAATGAAGCCCCAGTTCCTCCAAGGGCATTCTTAGATTACACTGATGCCATCGCAATTAAATTCCCTGTTCAATTAAAGTATGTACTGTACAATTACACCATACTTACTTAGGTTTTCCTATTAACCTACCAGGAAATAGAACCTATTGCCCTCTTGAACCACAAGACAGTTCATAATGCCAACTCTTCTCATGCTACTTTACTCTTTACGGTTAAATGTTATTTTGTAATTGCTGAATTATGATGTATTTTTCTCTGATTATACAACTCTCATGTTTCGATAAAAGGCTCAGCACCTGTACTTAAAATGTATTTGATCCTGTTGAAGTCAAGGGACTTACACAAATGCAACTGATGACAATTAAGCCCTATGTTTTAGGTAAGTAGGAAGCTGGCTCAGAGGTAGTACTTGCGGAAACCAGAAGCATGAACCTTGCTTCCATATTTCTGTAGTTCACCTCCTTACAAAGATTAGGAAAACAGCCAAAATACACATTTCATGTACTTAATAGACATAGTAAAACCCATTCAAAACTCCTAGTATTTTCTTTCATTTGCAACAACAGAGTGGAAAAGAGAAATGTCTGGTTGTTACATCTCTGAAGAATTCAAGTGCAGCAATGGCATTAGGATCCTACTATAAGGGCAGGCTGAAGCCGAGTGGGTAGACAGCTTCTCTTTGAAATCAGCATATCTACTGACAGAGTGGAACCTAGCAATTCTGCTACCCTGGTGTCTATATTTAAGATATGAAAGCCCAGTCCTGCAGACACTTTCTGGAAAGTGCAGAGGGCAAACAGAATGTAAGCAGTGTTACATGGGCCAACAGCTCTCCATAATATGCCTCGGAAAGTGAAAATTTGATTTAGAGTCCTCTACCTGTACTATAGCAAATTAACCAGGTGATCTAATCATATTATTCCAATGGATTAGATCTCTTTGCTACAGTGGTCTTGGGGAGCTCTGGTATTACAGTTCATATTGCCATGCAAAGAAAAAAAAAAACCCACAACTATAATTGTGAATTCAGTAACTAAATTAATAACAAATATGCTATACAAATGATTGTTAATATGTATAATTTTGTTACTGTGATTGTAAGAATTCATAGACTACTGGGAATTAAGGCCATGCCATATGTCATTTAAAAGATCATTTCCCTAAATTTGCCATAGGATCTTGGATTTGACCTATAGCTTAATGTCTCCAGGGATTACTGATCACCATATATTTAGCTAGACAGATGGACATTTACAAGCCCTGAATTTCTATAACAGAAGCAGCATATAATTACAAAGACTGCACATGCAAACAGTCCGGTAAGTCATCCAGCCTTGTATTTGCAGGAGTGAATTTTGGGTATTGCACTTATGATTCTTTGAAAGGAGCAATTTTCGAAGGGCAGATTTTTAACATATGATGGAAATTTCACTCCTTAATGAGTCCAAGCAGATCATTCAGAAATGGAGTGTCCCAAATTACCATTCACTTATGCTCTCAATTTTGAAGAAACCTACCTCTCAGTTCTTCCTTAATTGCTATAATTTTATTAATTTTCAGGGAATGTAATTTCATTTCTGGAATGCGGTTTAATTACACTGAATAGTGCTGTTTTGTAGAGAGATAGCTTCAGAAGTGTGCTCTAAGCAATAGGGGTTTACACTGAATATTATAAAAATGGGTGTTACATTACACACTTATTATCAATATTTATCTATATTGTGGGGAGGTCTGCAGTAAGTACTGATTATAAACCAAGCAACATTTGTAAAAACAATAATAAAAAGACAGCCCTTATTTAAAAGTTCTAGGCAAACAGATAGATTCTGTAATTTTATCCAACAATAGGGAAGATTCTTCTTTTCTCTTTCTCTGCAACCTGTGGAATTACTGAACTTTACATTATGTGTGGAACAAACAAGACTCAGCCTGAAGGAATCTATAGTTTCATTCAGTGATATCTTCACAGTAGTATTTTTTTTAAACGTACAATGTACGGCCACACTTCGGTTACGTTTTCTGTGGAGAACATGTAAAGGGAAAGCTATCGAAAAACTAGTCTGGATTTATATCTTCAGGTCTTAGAGCGAACATCTTTGGTGCCAGGTGCCTCATGTGAGTGCCGATTGTGAACCATTTCTGGAGCACAGATAGAAACAAGCAGGTTTCTAGGTTGGAGCTGATCTGACTATGAGTTATAGGTATTATAACCAACTTTTCTTCCAAACCAATACTCCATCCCTCCAGAAATCTTAATAGGCTTTTGAGAGCCTCCATTTAAAGCTGGCTGCATAAAATGATCCTTTGATGAAAAGGGATTGAAACAAGGGTTAAAGTAGACATTGAAAGGTTATTGTAGAGGGCACATTGTTCATACAATCCTCCTTTAATATGTGTGGTGTGCACCTGCGATAAGATGATTCATTAGATAAGGCCTCACTTTGACAAGCTCCATCGTTCAACCCTCGGGGTAGTGATGGAACAATTCTGCACCCACCCAGTAAATATAACAAGGTCAGCATTTTTTTTTCTGGGACTTAGATGGCAATAGTGAAGCTCAGGATGCATCTTTGTTTATGTGTTTTGTTGAAAAAAAATGGTGGCTACTGTAAAGTGTTGTCTTTTATTTTTTAATGGGCCAAAATAAATATGTCACCCCTGTTCCAATTAAATAACATGGTGATAGAAAATTACGGGGAAAAAACCTGCTCTTCATATTTTTTTTCCCCTGTAGTAAACAGTAAGAGTAGAAACTAAACTTTAGATTCACATATCATCCAAGCTGTATCCTTTCAATAAATGTTTACCAGGGCCTAACACCCACATAAGCACTGTGGATTTCACCGTATGCCCAATTTGTAGCATTTAAAATAATGACATTCAAATCGCTCAGTTACCAGGTCCAGTCATAAGTTATACTGACAGATTTGTTGCAGTGACTTTATGTGAAACAAGTAGTTGTGTTAATTTTAGTCCCACTAAATGCAATAAAGAATGACAGTGGCCACAATCTGAAAGCTACTTAAGCATGATGCATCAATGGAGTTATTTTTATATATATGTATTCAGATGCATATCTTTCTGCATTATAAAAAGACTGAAACTGAAATAGTTTGCACCAAACAAACAGCTCCCAAATGCAGATAACACACAATCTCCCTCTCAGACACACCATAAACATTGTTCAAGTTACTGTTTGGAAAATTTTCTTTAAAGCAAAAGTTCCTCCCAAATTTGCATTATAGACTGGCAGATTCATTGCAAATTGCTTAACTTAGTTAATCAGCAAATTAGTAAGCCATCCAGTTAAATCCATCCCAGATACTTCATTATAATTTGTGTTTCTTTACTTCATACTTTTAATACGTTTTTAGAAATTAAGTGAAATGCTACAATTTGAAAAAAAGTGTAGTCTTAATAGTATAGTAGCATTTTAATATAGTTGTCTGTTATTAGGCATATATAACTGCAAGAAGACAGATGGTGTGTTAAGAATCACAGGCTTGCTGGACTTTTAAAATACCATATTATTGCACCATTGTCATCTTTTCAAAAGACTGAATTAAAACAAAACAAACCCTAAGCCTTTTCTGGCTTGGAAACACTTTCTAACAGCTCCTAACTTCCTTCCAGTTCTCAGACTTTCCATTTCTTACCTTGTCTGGCAAATCAATATTTATTTATCTTCAATATGTGCACTTTTAAATTGCTGTCATACAAGCGGAACTCATTTTTGTCCCAAGATCAGCCTGCCATCAGAATTCACTGTTTGCTCCATCTTCTACTCACCTGTCCTTGTGCATTAGTGACGAGTTGACCTGTGACCCCCTGAAGACTGGAGAGGGCATTGCCAAAGGCCTGGGAGCTTGCTATTGAGCCCATGGCTGCTGCTGCTGCAGCCGCTGCTGCTTGACTTGCTAGCGGATTATTAACCAGCTGAAAAAGGAAAGAAAAGATCATGGTAAAAGCCCCGACAAACACAGAAACACAGAGTGTGAACCGGCTAACATAAAAGTGATTGTGCTAACGTGGGTGAAAAACTGTCTACTCCAAGAGCTTCAGTAGTTTCGAGAGGTTCTTATTTCTGAGGCTTTGGTTTCTTTGACAATGAATGGTTTTAAAAAATGCAGAGGAAATTCCACGTTAATTTTGAAAAATAAAACACTCTTGGTTTTACCCTTTATTCTCTCTGTTTTTTTTAGTTGGGCTTGATGTGTTTCTTTAGGTTCAACATGCTAATGCCACAGGTGTAGCAGCCTAATCCTGCTGTAAACAGCAATCAGTGAAAGATTAGCATTTGATTTGAATGGGAGTGGGATATTTACTAGGTGATATTCAGAACAGAGACTGTTTTACTAATGACCCCAGAAATGAGAAAAACCTGCAGATCCTTTCAATTTATATCATTAAAGAGTTGGTCTCAACATCTAGCTAAATCACAGCAGAGGACTCAACCCTGTGATTAACTTCAGTAGAAACTGACTAAAAATCCAAAATTAATTTGGAAAATATTAAACTAAGCACCTTACTGCTTTTCAACCGCAAATGATTAATTGCAGGACTCATAAATTTTCAGGAAGTGGTAGTACTGCCCACTTCAGTCAGTTCTACCTGGGTGATCCGATCCGTGTAAAGCATAGAGCATAGTCCTGGTTTTCACCCTAGGAGGCTCTGGGAATCCCACAGAGGACCACTCCTATCGACACTTGGGCTTATCAAACATACAAAATGTGTGTTCCTCCATCAGAATCAAATGTCCTCTGGGAGATGGCTTGTTCACTGGATTATTGGGAAGTTTATGTTTTCTCACTGTTTTCTGAGCAAGGACAAACTTTGAACCAAGCACACAGGGATGACAATAAAAAAAAAAAAATAAAAAAATGCTGTGAACCATTATCACTGGGACACCTGTCCTGCAAACAATCAAACAAACAGTTAAACAGGCTGAAAAATGTATTTTAGACTGTGTTTGCCGCCTAAGAATCATTGCATTTTAGCAGAGCTTGCAAAATGTACATTAGCAGGGCAAAGTAGCCAGAAGTTTGAGGGAGAAAAAAGTCTGGGGACAGCAAAGACTTTTTTTTCTTAGAGGATGAGTAAATTATCAATCCTATAGAAACAGAGTCACAGACACCAGTAAGGGATGTACTCCACAGACAGGCTCTGCTTCAAAATAGGTTATAAAAAATTAATCAGTGATTAGTAGATGTTTTAAGCATGTTACAGATATGAGTAGTGTGTATGTTATAGATGTTTAGAAGCCCATCAGTAGAAGATGTCAGATATGGTTATAATCTATGCTTATAAGAAACCTACTTGTCTCTTGGATGTTGCAAAATCTACAACAATTGATTGGTCATACATTAAAACATCTATTAATCATTCATTAGCCCTTCATGAAGTATTTATAAATGGTACCTTGATATAAAGTGTTGCCTAAAGGGGCGCCTTGGGCACATCCAATCCCTCTAGAAATTGTAAAGTAAATAACTAAATAAAGATTAGTAGCAATCCTGGACAGAAAAGATGACATTGTTGGACGAAATATTTTGATTTGGAAAAAATTGTTACATGAATCTCCAAAACCAGTCTGCGACATCCCATGGCAAGAAAATCAAGCAGGAATAAAACACAAAGGGGGAAACCTCAATGACTGCTTGATGAGCTGTGAAGAGAGCAGAGGCCGGCAAAATGACCAAGGCAAAGCTCAGTCCCTGAATGCAGAGTGCAAACAATTCCACTGACTGCATAAGGTGTGAGCCCAAACGTAGTTGCATGCACACCTCAGTGACTTGGGTGGTGGTCCCTGAGCACGACAGTATAATGCCAGATAACAGTATAGATAAACTTGTCGGTTTTCTGCTCAAAACAGTGACATTTCTTCATTGTCCAGATCAGAAGCTGGGAAAGCCTGCCTTTCTTCACAGCACTTCATGGGCAGCACTGGGAATTGTGGAGTAATCCCCTTGTAGCTGTAAACAGTTGGAGAAAAAGGGGGCAGCAGCAAGAGCATAAGACTTTCAGAAAAGGCCTTCTATTGCCTTATTAGGCACCGACAAATTACTGCACCTGTGATCCTACAGCATCTGATTGTAGGTGTAAATGAGAATCCTTACCTCGTTACCTGACATCAGCCAATAAACTACATTAGCTGCTATAGGTTCATGGCTTCAGTTGCATATAGGAACAGTTACTTGGGGACCGTAAATTAGCTTGTGAATCTGGAAACTACAAAGGGTTAAAACCCCCTAAAAATCAGACTATCATCTCCTAGAATCTCCTTTCCATTCTTCTTGCTCCGGTTTTCAAAAACTGTAAATTTTCAAATACAACAATAAAATGTAATTACAAGGAGACACTCAGGATTGCTTTTAGTTGCATCACAGAGATAAGCTACTTATTAAAAAAGATGGCAGAGGCTATGATATGCATAGGTACCCAGGGTAGTACCATGTTCCAGGAAAAATTACACTGAATGGGCCAACTTGCAGGGTAAGATACTTCCAAGTGCATATAAAAACATCCCTATCTATTCATAAGTCTGATTAAAAAAGAGAAGGTGCATTTTTCTTTGAGTGCTTTGGGAAACTGTTGACTGCAAGTTACGCTCTGTTAAATTGACCCCTTTTATATCGTCTGCAAATTGGGAATGGGGAAACACACCTCATTTCATTATATCTGGACACCAAAGTAACTTCTGACAAATTATATCTTGCTTTTACTTTAAAAATAGAATATCTGACTTGAGAGGTTTATGCCATTTCTCAGTGCAGGCTGGATCCCTGAGAACACTTATGGGAAGTATCAGAAATACGTTATGGAAGATCCTACAAAGGGCTCTCCCCATTTTACTTCTGTATTTAAATAATGATTTAATTTGGAAGGCTGAGACCTTTGAAGCTGTCAATTCAAGTGCCCAAATTTCTGCTCCCACTCAAAACACCAGCCATAACAACAGGTAATAGCGATCTTAGTTTAAAGTGACAGGCCAGCCTTCGCAAGGATGTCTCTGCTAATGACATGATTATCTGGAGAAGCAAACTTTATGAGGAAGAATCTTGTAATAACTGAGTAGCTTCAGTACATTTTTTCTGACTTCCCAGAGATGAACTTTTAAAGGAAAAGCATATGAAAGTTGTTCTGCTCTTACTCAATGTAAAGCAGGTGCCATTCCACTGCAGCTAACAGAACTCACACAACTAAAACTAACCTGTAAAATGACGGGCTATGAAAGGGGCACTGTTTTCAAGATCCTAAAACTGACATGTGAGGTGAGAGTTTCTAGGCTTAAGAAATAGTCTTCAAAAAGCACAGTTTCAAGAAAAGTGTGGTAGAGTCAATGCTGCAAGCAGCTTTCTTGAGAGCCACAAACACTTTATTCTTCTGGAAGAATAACCTCTTCCTCTCTTTTTTTCTAAAGCTAACTTAGTATCTCTCTAACTTACTGTGAGAAACTGATTGGGCATGCATGTATTGTTGAATACAAGATCAGATTTGATAGCCTACACAGTAATTTTACTTTTCTCTGTAAAGGGTGTATCCTACTGAACTTTCATTCCCCTAGTCTGGAAATCAAAGAGCCAGTTTTACTCATTACAATATCACTCATTCAACAAATATAAAGAAAAAAAACAAACTGTTTGACTGATGAAATGAAAAGCCAAGACACTTCAGGATGCCAGAGCATTGTACGAAAAAGTGGGTACGTAACCTGAAAGGTAAGGTCACTTTGTGTAGTGCCAGTATAAGAATTAAGTTAGATCTTGTGTGTTTTCTAAAGGACTTGCGGGAGAGGCTAAGAGTGAAGATACGCTATCTGAATGCAGCAAAGGAGAATGGAGGGACATATTGTGGAGTAACAGCAGGCATAACTTCATTTTACAAAAAAGTATCGGTGTTTTTCCGGAAGGCTGTTAAAAAAATCACATTTCTGGATATCTACTAGAGATTAAATTAGTGTAGAAAAGCAGTATATTTGATTAGGGACTGACAGATCTGCAGTCTCTTATGTTCTCAGACAATCCTTCCTGTAGGGAACATCACACTACTAGATCAGCTACTGATTAACTACTGAGAGTGTTTGCCTAAACTAATGATTTTCAAGGGAAACCAGAAAAATCCTTTGATTTAAGTTACTAAAAGTTGAGAACAATTCAGCAATGGCCCCCAATCAGAAACACATGACATTTTTCTTTTCTATCCAGACTATGTGAAAAATGAGCATAGAAATGACATTTTTATTAGCATGGCATTTGCTTTTGTGTGAAATTTTAACTGACAATCTATGTGAATTTTATCTGTCTTGAGATTTTGAGATAATTACATGGTAAAATTTAGTGGGTTTTATTCCCATTTTTTCACATTGGCTTGTGAGACAGATTCTGGGTAGTAGTCACTTGGACTTAAGGGAAAAAGACTGTTTCAAACTGAGCACAGGCTTCTGAGGATATTCTGGTACCTTCTTCATTACTGTGACAACCCTTATCATCTGTATTGGCAAGGTTTTGGTAGCTGGGGACCTGCAGAGGAGGAGGGAGGAAAAGAGTAGTGAACACAACAGAGGGAACAAGGTCAGAGAAAGGAGGAGGTGCTCCACAGCAGAGCAGGTATCTACACTGCCGCCCTTGAGGACCCCACGCTGGAGCCAATGGATATTTCCTGATGAGAACCATGATCCGTGGAGAGCCCACGCAAGAGCAGGGGAAAAGTATGAAGAGGAAGAAGCAGCAAAAAGGAACTGTTGTGGACTGACCATAGCCCTCCATGCCCCCTGCACCACTGCGGGTGCGTAGAGGAATCAGGAGTGAAGGAGTGAAGTTGAGTCTGGGAGAGGTGGGGGGAAGATGTTGTTTTAATGTTTGTCTCTTTATTTCTCACTGCCTGAATCTATTTTAATTAGCAATAAATTAAAGTTAATTATCCCCAAGTTGAGTCTG